TCCAGCTACGGCAAGCACCCCCGAGTTTATACCCAAAAGATTCTCGTCATTATAGCGCAGGGAAACCTGCACATGTGTGTTGGTTGCCATGTGCTCACACAGCCGAGATGCGGAATCAGCCTAGATACCCACAGACGACTGAGATGAGCAGATACAGAAACACCATGCGTGAACAGTGGAGTTTTGTTCAGTCATAAAACAAAAGGCAGTTTGTGGGGAAAGAGAGGCAGGAAGAATGAGGCAGGAGGGCTGATGCGGACAGGGCTTTGTTGTGGAGAGAGAACAATGCTTCAGGGCCAGACAAAGATTACCTCGGCGTGGCGTTGCGTTCCTTTCATCCCAGGGTCCCAGGGACAGAGGCAGAGATAGAGGCAGGTAGATCTCTGTAATTTTAGGGCCAGAATCAACCTCAGGTTTCCTTCCTCAGGATGCCGGTCCACCTTGTTATTTTTGAGACAAGGTCTCTTCTCTGACTTGGCACTCAGCAGGTAGGCTAGCTGGCCAATGAGTCCCTCCCCAGTGCTGGGAATACAAGTACCCCTCTAGGCCTTGAGATTTTATAAGGGACACATACATACATATGCATAAAATTTTATGTAGACACACACGCAACAAAAAATCATATTTTATGTGCACAGTTATCTTTTCAGGTCTTTAAGAGGATCACAGATAATTTAAATTGTTGTTTTGGGCTAGATTTATTATTATTATTTCTTTCAGTTTTTGAGATTATACTATAAGTACATCATATCCCTCCTCCCTCCAAACACTTTCCATATAGTCCTGCTTGCTCTTTTTCAAATTCACAGCCTCTTTTTTCATTAAGTGTGTATATATATATACATATATATATATATATATATATGATCCTTCCTCTCTTTTGCTGCAAACTACCTTTTGCTTGATTATTGAACAAAACTCCACTGTTCACACATGGCATTTTCTTTATCTGTTCATCTCATCTGTCTGTGGCTATACATAAATATGTATAATATAGGAATATATTATATAGGCATATAGGCACAACCTGATCAGTCTACATACTGTTAATTGTATGTGTGTTTTCAGGGCTGACCATCTGGTATTAAATAACCAGTTGGTGTACTCTTCCCTGAAGAAGACTATTTCTCCTGTTCCCAGCATCCCCTCGTTCCTGTAGTTCTCGAGGTCTCTTCTTGTCTGTTCACCAAACACCTTAGCTGGTCTATTGCTGTTGTCCTTCAACTCATGGTTAGGCAGCCATGCTGATTAGATTTTATGGGGAAGCTTCTGATTCCTCTAGGACACAATCTCATAACAAACTCCCTGAATGGCTCATAATTTCGGGGTTGGAATCTTTATTATCTATTTTGAGACATAATTTGAGAGCTATCAAGACAGTATTGATAGCTAAACTAAAGAGCAGCTCTCCCTTGAGAACTGGGAATATTCTATTCTTTCCCTGAGTGTCTCTCTCTTTACCTGTGTTTATAACAAAGATTTCACGTTCATATACTAATCTGTGACTCTCTCCTTTGAGATGGCTGCATCCCCAAATCTGGAGTTCCTGTATACACTTCTTGAACTTTCTCTTTGAACCCGTCAGCAACTCGGCTTCATACAGGTTCATCCAGAAATTCTTCTCTGCATTGAAGCCAAAACCTGTGTTTGGCCTGAGTCAGGGACTCCAGGTAGAGGGAGCCCTCAGATTGCCCTGGGTGGCAGCTCAGAGCTTTGCATAACCCACATCTGCCACGATGCTCTCTGTGATTCTAGCCTCCTGGTATGTCTTTAGTCATCTGTAGTTTTGATCTCTCAACTACCATCCCCCCCCCTACCACCACCAAAAAAAGGATTTCAAGTAAACTAGTGAAAATAGCTCTAATGAGCATTTACTATTAATCAAGTTTGACCGGACAGTGGTGGTGCACACCTTTAATCCCAGCACTGGGGAGGCAGAGGCAGGCAGATCTTTCTGAGTTCGAAGCCACCCTGGTCTACAAAGTGAGTTCCAGGACAGCCAGAGCTGTTACACAGAGAAACCCTGTCACAAAAAGCTGGAGAAAAAGTAAAAACCAAGTTAGTTTGCCTTTACATGTTTGCTTTGCTGGTTATGGTGAACATTTTTTTCCTGTAGCGCTTCAGTGATCCCTATAGACATAGGCAGAGGTAAAGCTTCAAACAGCCTGGCACGCAGTGCTCAGACGCTAAACCACATCCACAGGACAGACAGAATTAACTGAGAAGCACCCTCCAGGTGGGAGCTATGGTTGTCTATTCCGTTGTGGACCTGATGGAAATCATCAGGAAGAAGAGCTGAGCACGCCAGTGGGGATTGTCTTGGTTAGATTTGCTGAGGTGGGTTTAACTGTCAACTGTGGGTTGATCTCTGGGCTCAGATTCTAAGATGTATAAAAAGAAAAAAATAGACTGAACACAAACATTCATCAAGTTATGCTGTTTTAATTTTATATCACATTTTATTACTTATTTTCATTGCATGAGTGTGTGTGTGTGCATGCGTGTGTGCATTCCTGTGTGTGTGTTCAGATGACAGGGTCACCGTGTAGAGGTCAGAGGACAACTTGCAGCCTCTCCTTCCTCATGTGAAAAAGGAGGAACAAACTAAGGGTCAGGCTTAGTGACAAGCTGGTTTACACTGAGTCTTCTGGCTGGCCCAGTTCTGCTGCTTGACTGTGGATTTGATGTGACCAGTTCCCTCTAGCTGCTGCCACCTTGGCTTCTTGACAGACTGTGATCTGAAAATGTGAGCAAAACTCCCTCCTTCCTTACGTGGCTATGCCAGAGTATTTTAGCACAGCACAGAAAACTAACACATTAGTATGAAGATTCCGGACTTGGGAGCCTCTAGTTGCTTAACTGTGGCAAAGAGAAAGCACCATTGTTACCAGCAGTGTTGCTTGGTGAGAGAGAAGCACACTAGATGCACCCACCCTGACCACTTGACTCAATCCCAGAACCCAGGTACAGCTGGAAAGAGCTCTGTGTCCATGAAGCTGTCCCGTGACCGCCACAGCTATGCTGTAACTTGTGCATTCCTGCATAAACACAGTGTTGTAGACATAACATGTTTAAAGTGCCTTTGGCTCTATCTTGCTATCTGCCCAGCCGCTAACACGTGATCAGACCACCTGAAAAAGCTCCCTAGAGGTCACAAGTGCCCAACTGACCACAGCAAACCATAAGATGGTTGTTTGGTCAGTATGTCTTTAAGGAAAATGGGTTCCAGGTTCAAAGAAAGGAAGTGGTCCCTGCCCAAATGGAGTCCCTGCTGCTTCCCTTCCAGCAGTAATGAAGCCCAGGAAGGCAGCAAAGGCTCAGTGCAGGGCAGCTGGCAGGAGGAGGCCTCTCCACTTTGTGTCCTGCTAGGATTCTGCTCACTGCTCCAGGACACAGTCTCAGCCCTGAGCTTTCACACCCAGTGCCCAGGGTCACAGCTCAGTCCCAGTACTGACCCTGCCCTGCGGCAGGGGGCAGGGAGCTGTGACACTGTAGTGGGGTGTGGTGTCAGATTGCAGTCTCTGCATATTCTGGATTCAATAAGAAGTTTTTCTGAAATACTGATTACAAAAGAAAACAGCATCAAATTTTTGAATTTGAGGTTGTTCTGGGACCCTCAGTTAAATCCATGCATAGTCCCTGTCTCAATCAAAAAGAGAGCCTGGTATGTGGGATTCAGCCTGGCCTGGCCCTGCCCTTCAAAGTGTCCTGGATGCCTCAGGCCCCACTTGCACCTGCAGAGCAGCCCCTCCTTAGGAATTCCAAGAGCTCCCAGCAAGAGCTAGGTCCAGAAGAAGAGGAATTCAGAGACAACAGCCAATCAGACGGAGTTAGACTGGAGGGTCATTGAGCTGAGAGGCACTGGCCTGAGTTCCAACAACCTTCAGCTGAGATGACATGCTGGACAGCCAGCATAATGGGGTTTGCACTTTGAGGCTGTACTGATGACCTGGGGTCGGGCATCTTCTCCCACACTGTGGCGGCCATGTCCCTATTGGCCAGTGAATCCCTATACACTTGTGCTTGGAAAAATTGTGGGGGAGACCTGTAGTGGGGAACTGGGCTGTGAGGAGATGTGGCTGCATCGGTGTTTCCTGAGGGGACAAGATGGAGGAGCTACTCAACCTAGCTCCACAGTGTCACTGAGCTAGGCTTCTCAAGGAGGGGTCTTCCCGGAAGTACACTAAGTTCTCCTGGACTAAGAGCTCGGCGGTGACAGTCACGCTGCCCAAAGCCCTGATGAACCTTAACAGCTCTGCTTCCCCGGGGGCTCCTCAGACACTCCTGACAGGGTCCAGTCTAACAGCCAGTGGCTCACCAGGTGGGGCTCTAGGACCTCACATGGCTCTCCAGGAAAGTCAGATGCCATGCTCCTTGGGCACCAGCCCATCGATATCGCTGTACTTTTCCCATGTCTCTGCTGCCAGCAGGCTCTTCAAGCCCACACAAGGCCCTTCACAGACAGGCTGAGCCAGAGGACTGCTAAAGGGCTTTATTTGGTGTCAGGTGGGGGAGGGTTGGACAAGGATTGGGGGACAGGCAATGGGGAGTTTGGTCCAGGAGAGGTGTGGTACAGGGATGTCCCAGTCAGGTTTGGGCAGCAAGGCTTGCTCAGCAGGTGCAGACCTGGGTAGCTGCTGTGACAGAGAAAAGAGAGATAAGTCCCCCATTCTGTAGGAGCGACAGTCAGGGAGTCATGGACAGGGATGGCCCAGGGCACATATGGAACAGAAATCTCTTTCCCCACATTTCTATGTGGTCCCTGCTAGGAGCTGGAGTCCTTGAAGAGATCCCTCACTACTCCCATGATCACCCAGGTCTCTGCCTCCCTGGAGAGAATGGGAAGAACAGGGCAAGGCAGAGACCAGGGACTAGGAGAGATCACGACAAACAGGAAGGACTTCCTAGCTGTCTGGAAACTACACTCAGGGCCACCTCCCTGGTGACAGCACCTGTCTGTGGGGATGGGATGAGGACAAGGGCTTCCTGAGCCCCACATTCTAGGCTTCTCCACATTCCTAGAGGTGGGACACGGTGGGGTGGGGGGAGACTTACCCTAGTTGCTTTCAGGCACACAGTGCTCTGTAGAAACCAAAAGAAGACCAGGAGTGAGAAGGGCCCTGTAGAGGACCGCATCACATCTGAGGCTCAGACCCTCCCCCAGGCAAAACCTGAGGCAGGGCCTGGCAACCCTGGGAGAGGTGACAGGACCTTGAAGGTACAGTGCAGAAACCAGGGAAACAGAGAGAGCAATGGAGAGAGCGGACAGAGCACAGGAGACTTGGAGGTGCATGGGGACACCAAGGGACAGAGCTCAGATTGTGACATTGTGACACTGAGTTAAGCATGACCCTGAGGAAATGCTGGAGATGCCACAGAGACACAGGGAACAAGGACAGACAGCAAACAACACGAAAGGGACAATAAGACCCGGCACAGAGAGGACACAGAAGCACAGAGACAGACATGGTTTGTGGCCACACACGGGTAGCAGTGACACCGGGGACACAGAGAGAGGCATGGACAGTCCTGTTCCCACCATTTAACTCTCGTACAATGATGTTTTCCTCCTTGAGTCCCTAACGCAGTACAAATTTCTTAAATTCTTCCATGGCCTCTGGGTTTTCCTCAGGGTTTCTCCCTGTGTGGAGGTGGGGCAGGCTTAAGGGGTGGGGCTCAGCTCTGCAGAGAGCCAAAGACACAGGGACGGGAGCCTTAACCTACACAAAGGTGGAGAGAGGAGCCTGGTGGTTAACAACGAACTGGGTGTGGACAACCAGAAGTGAGGGACCCTTTGGCTTTAGGGAGAACCTCTGCAGATTTACAGGATACTCCACAGACCTGTAAGAGCCCTGAATCTCAGGGGCATGAGGCTGTCCCCTGACCCTGTAGGATCCCTACCCTCCATTAAAGCCTCTGTCAAGACACTTCCTTTGACCTGACCCTTGACTGAGATCCCTGGAAGTGGCATTTGCTGGCTCCAGGGATGGAGACTGTTCCTGAGTGCTCAGGTCTCCAAAGGCCACAAAATCCCCATGCTCCCTCTCACCCATTTCCTGGGTAGTAATCTGGGCACAGAACCAAAAGGCTTCTCAGTCCCCAGTGCCAGGCATGCTGGTGGAAGCAGAGACCAGACACAGGACTTAGGGCCTCCATGGCACCTCACCGATGAGCTTTCCCATGCGAAAGAACTTCCCGTGGTAATGGCCTTCACAGTACATGACGTAGTGGTCCTTCACCGGCAGCGCTGTGATATAGATGAACCTCTTGTCGTCAACTGCAGGTGAACAGAAAAAACTCTTAGTCTCTTATCCTTGAGGCACCATTGCAGACCATGTGAGGGAACACCTTGGAACACTTCGGTGGTCACCAAGGAGACCTGTCTAGTCTAGCCCTGGCCTTTTTATCCTCTACATAGTTAGACAGGAGTCATTTCTTGGAAGATGTCAAGGTCAACTAAGATGTTCAGAGACGGGGGCTGAGGTTGGACCCAGGCCTGAGCATCCATCTCCCTGCTTGGTTCTCCACTCTTTAGCATGGTTTTCTCATGGGTCAAGAGCTGAGATCTAGGCAGGAGACCAAGACACAGTCAGATGCTAGGGTTGACTACACAACAACCTCTCTCTGGTACGTGGAAAGTGAGTGGATGGTCGGTTCTACAAGCTGGACTAGGCAAGGACCCATCTATCCAAGGGCTGCCGGTTAAGGACATCCTTAGACACAGGGACTCACAGGAGGTGAATTTGCCAGGCTCATCAGTTTTCTTCATCAGGATTTTAACCTCATGACACTGACCATTCTTCCTGTAAACACAAGTCCACAGTCAGCCTGCTCTCAGCAGCAGAGCGGAGACTCTCAGCTCTTTTGGTGACTCAGCTCTGGTTAGGTGATCTCCTAAATTCCATGTTCCTGCTTTTGGAAACTGCTTGGGACTGTGTCCCTCAAAGGTGGAGATTTTTATTTTCCCAAACTCAACATATAGCCAGGATAGCAAGGGAAAAACAGACAACTAAGGAGGTCCAAAGCTGGGTACACGTACCAGAATATAACGTCGGACTCCATGTCTCCTCCTTCCAGGGCTGTTACCTTCACAGGGAAAACCTTCAAGGGTATGCTGTGACTGGATAGGCTGCCATTGTGTATCATGGCCTTTGGATACCAGGTCCCAGAGTACTGCAGGAGACAAAGCTTTGAACATGCCCAATCATGGCCCTCTTTCTATCCCAGGCTCTAGAATATGGGCTAGCACCTGAGTAGACACTCAGAGCCCAGGCTGCTGCCACTGAGAAGGGCTAACCCTGTATCCCAGGACCTTTGGTCAGAAAACAGATACCAGAGCTTTAGACTACCCAATCCCATGATGATAGAATGTGAGTGCTCCCCATCCAGGTATCTAAAATCTTGAGGCCTACACCTCAGCACTGGATTAATGCCCTTGTCCACAAGTCCTTCGAGCTCTGGGTATCATGTGAACAAGGACCCCTTACAAAATCTGCTTTCTGTTCTAAACCCCTATCTTCAGGAGGCTGCCCATCTTCTGTTAGAATAATGAAAGCCCAGTTCTGACTGCTCAGTGCAAGGTCAAATTCAACCTACAAGGCCCCACCCCTCCCCAGTGAGGTTCCCCTCCTCACATCCTCCTGGTCATCTGATGGTACTTCTTGGGCCTTCAGGACAGACACCAGCCCCAGAAGTGTGAAGGACAAGAGCAGGCTCTTCATCTTCAGTCGCTAGCTGGGCTCTCACACAAGGCAGGTCACCTGAGGAAGGTCTGCTCTGGCTGCTCACATGGTGACTTTTATATCCCCCGTGGCCAGGGATGTGTGCCCACTTGGCACTGACCACGTCTCTCCCGTCCTTCTCTCATGGCCAAATCCACATCCATCATGGAGGTGGAAGGTTGTTGTTGTTGGGATCTGATGACAATGAACTCAATGTCACCAACAGACGAGGAAAGACACACAATGGCGTGCAATGTCTGTGCCACCAAGACTTGTGTTCACAAAGGACCCTGGAAAGACAAGTGACTCAGCGGCAGGGAGGTTTCTCACTGGGAAAGGAGGAAAGGCCAGGCTTCCCTTACTTTCCCCCATCTGCCATGGCTGCCCTGAACTGTGTCCACTGAGACCTGGATTCTGACCTCCTGTGCGGAGAATGGGCTGAGCTACACCACCAGAGACTATTACTAGTACCCAGGTGGCCTGGCCGCTGCCCAAGAGGGAGCCCACTTCATTGTCATTTTTGTGCATGGATACCCCAGCTGGACCTTCCTGTAAGTGGCCCCACAGACTCCTGACTCTTGTCAGTTTGAACATCATCAGGGCAGACCCCCTGCCACACTAGGCCACACCATGACCCTGACCCAGCTGTGGGCTTTGCAGGGCACTCCTTACTCTCCGATGTCCTGGTCTTTTTCACTGCCCGGGCAATGCCATCTCCTCAACCAGCAAAAAAAGTTTCATTTCCATAGTTCACATGATTTTAAGTTGGTTTTATGAAGAATTCCAACCACACATGAATATTTGTCCTCTGAAGGGAGAGGTGGGTGGGGTTCACCTCTATGAGCTCAGGGGGATTCATGTCCAACAAGGGGCTCTGGCCTTCTGCTGTTCTTGTCATCTGAGCACCTGCTGGGAGGACCTTTCAGAGCCAGGGCTGCCCTGGTGCAACTGAGGTCCATGTGTGTTCATTTCTTGCCATCTTGTGCCCTGAGGTGGGATGAAGGACCAGCGTCCATCACAGCCTAACCTGAGCCCACCCCCGTGCTCCTATTGAACTCCGTTCCTCTGGAGTCCACAGCTTCCCTCCTTGTTAGCTCTGAGCACCCACAGGCTCTCCACTTGGCAGATCACACTCTTTTTGGGTAAATGATGCAAAAACCACCATGACCCCATGTGCCAACCTGTGTTTTGAATTCATGATGTCTGCCTGGCTCCAGGCCTTGGCTCAGCTTCCTTCCCAGTAGGAACTGTGCCTTCCACTCCTCACTCTGCAGTTCCTGAACTTGGCCACGTGCCCTGAAACCTAGAAGGTCAGGTCTGGAGAAGGATTTCAGTTGCTGTCTACACTCCATGGCTCTGGAGACGGGAGCTGGTCCCACAATGGCATCTCTGTGCCCATTTGCACCAAAGGTGGACGGGCTCAAGTATCCACAAACAATTTTAATGAGCACGCTGTCTTTCCCAGGCTTGTGCTGAGGAGCTGGCAGGGCCTAGGTCTTGACCTCACTATAGAAGGTGTTGAGCAGGAGGCCTGACATTCAGGGTGTGAGCTGAAAGGGCTTTTAGGACCAGACATTAGAAAACAGGCTATCATTTACAAATCAAGGGTGCGGGGTCTCTGAACCTGCCATCTTGTCCTTCATTAGTGTGTTTGATTCATTCCTCTGCGCACCTCATCACACAGGCACCCGTGTTTGATTCCCTGAATCAGAGGAGAACATTGTGCCCATGATTGACAGAGCCAGGGACGCTGTCATTTTGCTGGAGGTCATTGGAACTTGCCAGGTGGTTCTCATTATCCATTTCTCTCGCCTGTGTCTTGGCTCCTGGTTTGTCTCAAGGTTTCCAGTTATATTCCCTGGCATGACTAAACTAAGGTGGCAGCAGATAGCTGCTATTGCTTTTGTGGAATGAACTCTATTTGAATCCTGAAGTGTCAGTGCTGGGGTGGCTACAGCTGAAAGTGCTGATGGCTGACCCCTTCTGTCCCCTGCCACAGTGGTTGACGTTTCTTAACACCAGAGAGACTAGCAGCTTCCCAGTCTAGTGCCTGCACCTCTCTTTTCTGTTTCTCTGACCCACAGCCTTGAAGGGCAGGTGTGAAGTTGATTCACACAGTCATGGATGGGTCTGAAGCTTCCCCCACAGGTTGTGTGGAAGGCTTAGTCCCAGCTGACAGCCCTATTTCAGAGACTGCAGACCGAGGCCAGGGCTGGTAGAAATTAGTCATGGGGAACACCTTGTCCTCGTCTCTGCTTACTTGACGGCACGAGATGCCAGCTGTTCCACTTAACCTTCTCTGCCATGATACTCTACTCACCACAGGCCCTCAGCCATGAGACCAAACCATCGTGGGCAGAACCTCTGACACCGGGAGCTAAAATAACTCCTTCTTCTTTAAGTTGTCCTCAGTGTGTTTAAGGCGATGATGAAAACCTGGCTGACACATTGTCAGCATGGATGGAAACTGAGAGGATAGTGGGGCTGGGCTCCCCCCACCCAGAGATAACATGAAATGTTCCACCTGTGACTCAGAGGGTCCTCAGGAGAGCCAAGTTCCTGTGCTCACAATGCTAAATTTCTCATCAATATGAGAATATATGACCTTAATATATCACCAAATGCCAGGCTTCTGGCCTCCAGATCTGATCAAGAATATGATGTAGGTTTCTGTTTTTGTGCTGTGATCTACCCCAGGCCTGGCACAGGCTTTGGTGCACCTTACCACCAAGTTCCATCCTATGTCCACATTTCTGGATTTTAAAACATTTAGTGTAGTACTGTGCTATAACTGCCCTTAAAATCATTCCTAACAAATCAATACTTATATAAATGCAAATGGTCAAAATCCTCCTGTAGTAATATGAGCGGCGGGGCTGTGTCCCCAGCACCCCGGCCGCCTGCTAGCTCATGCCCAAAATAACAACACACAAACTGTATTCATTTAAACACTTCTTGGCCCATTTCTATCTAGCCTCTTCTAGGCTAATTCTCGCACCTGGACTAGCCCATTTCTAATAATGTGTGTAAGCACCCCAAGTTGCGCTTATCGGGAAGATTCTAACCTACGTCCATCCTGGGTCGGAGCTTCATCATGTGTGCCTCAGAGAGCAGAGTTATCGGGAGAGCGGAGCATGGCGTCTCTGCTTCAGAGCAGAGCTGTCGAGTCTGAGCTCACTTCCTCTTCCTCCCAGCATCCTGTTCTGTTTACTCCTCCCACCTATGTTTTAACCTATCAGGGCCAAGGAGTTTCTTTATTGCTTAACCAATGAAATCAACAGAGTGATATATGACACTCCCACATCATCCTTCAAACACAACGCAGGGACTAGTCCAGAGGGCTGAAACCGTATGATGGCTATTGTTGTCTACAAGGGATCTACGTTAAAAGTGATGATAGAGGTGAACTGGGTGTAAAAGTATAGAGCTGCTGTAGGTCAACTTTAATCTAACAAGATGTAACATCAACTAATGTAAAACCTAGAACAAAGCAGAGTTAATGGGATAATGAGGGGCAGCGTACAAGGACAGTTGTGCCATTCCTCGGGGAGGAGCTACCATCCCAAAGGTTAACAGAGCAGTCAACAGGGCAGAGTAATAGAATTTGGAAACGTGGAGAGAAATGGAGAGAAAGAAATGGAGAAAAAAATGGAGAGAGAAAGAGAGAGAGAGCGCTCCACTTGTGTTGGAGATGCCCCCCTCCCCCCCCACACTCCACCAATAACTGAAAACCAGCAGGGACACCGAATGCCTTAGCCTCACTCTTAGCCAGCAGCTGTGAACTCTCCTCACCAATGTGGCACTATCACGTGCTTTTATACATCACACAGCGTGCAATAACCATGTGCAACTTGTCCTAGTGGTGTATGACCTGGACACACTGCGAGAAACTGAAAGTGTGTGGGAAGTGTCCACCAAGGTCATAGAGCAGATACCTGACGTCAGCACCAGAGGGAGGTGGGATATGTTCCTCGACAGGCTTCAAAATGCTACAACTCAACTCTGAGCAGTTCATGGACCAAAGAGGAAACCTGCAGGGAAGTGAGACATTGAACTGAGTGAAAATGAGATGTGGGTCTGTAGGTAGCTATTTTGCAAGCTGAGGCAGGAGGATTGTAAGTATGTGGCCTGTTTGTGTTACTGAACACGTTCAAGGCCCAATAGGGCAGATTAGCAAGATTGTGTATCAAGATTCTGAAAATGAAGGGTTGTAGGGATGGGTCAGTTGTTAAGAGTTCTGACTGCTCTCCCCCACCCTCTCCATTTTTCTTCCTGGGTTCTAATTTCAACATTCAGAGTAGGGCTCACAGCAGTCTGTAGCTCTAGTTCCAACATATCCAATGTCCTCTTCTGTCTTCCACAGAGACCAAGCAAACACTCAATAAGCAGGCAAAACACCTATACACATAAAAATAAATAATAGATATTTAAAAATAAAAAAAAAGTATTGGAGAATGTCTCAGTTAGGGTTTCCATTGCTGTGAAGAGACACCATGACCACAGCAACTTTTGTAAAGGAAAACATTTAGTTGCAGCTTGCTTGCAGGTTTAGGGGTTTAGCCCATTGCCAACATGGTGGGTATCATGGTGGGCATGCAAGCAGAATCAGTGCTGAAGAGGTAGCTGAGAGTTCTACATCCAGATCCACAGAAAGCAGGAAGAGAAAGAGCCACGGGGTTCTGAGGTTGGACTAAAGTCAAAGCCCGCCCTCCAGTGACAAGCTTCTTCCAACAAAGTCAAACCTACTCCAAGAAGGCAACACCTCCTAATCCTTGTTTATGTAGTGCCTCTCCCTAGGAACCTATGGGGGCCATTTTCATTCAAACTACAAC